CTAGTTAATTTTAGGAAACTCTATGACCAAGGGGACAAGGGGACACATGACGCGCGTTGCGTTTCCCTCTGGTCGGGCAGTGGTGTTGATGATGATGATGATGATGATGATGATGATTTGAGGGGTTTAACGTCCCAAAACCACCATGTTATTATGAGACGCCGCAGTGGAAGACTCCGGAAATTCCGACCACCTGGGGTTCTTTAACGTGCACCCAAATTTGAGCACACGGACCTACAGCATTTTCACCTCCATCGAAAATGCAGCCACCGAAGCCGGAATCCGATCCTGTGACCTGCGGGTCAGCAGCCGAGTACCTTAGCCACTAGACCACCGTGGCAAAGAGGGCAATGGTGTTCAGTAACTTCAGCATGCCTCGAGTAAGCGACCTTAGTCCAAGTTAGGCACCAAATCAGTCGGGCTACTCCAGCACTGACATCGCTTTCTCTGGTTAAATCTCACCATTAAATGTTAGAGCTACCGTGCAGGAGTTTGTTCAATCGTTAATGATGACTCATGGACGTTAGTCGTCGGGATGGAGATGTGTTACTTAACATCATCGTTGATTCCTCCACCATAGGGAATGCTATAGCTGTCAAGCGTCAATAGCTTAGATTTGCGCAAGTTCTCTATACGTCGATGTACAGTAAACATTAAACTACTTCTGTAAGGACACATTTCACTGTCTTGTTTCACTTTATTACTTCATGTTTACTTGCGTCTATTTATTCCGATCATTTTTACAGATGTTACTTGCACAAGATATAAAAGCCTTTAAGATTAATATCGCAAAGCACATTATTAACAGCGTAAACACCTGTAAATTCATTTTGATCTGTTTGTCTGGCTGTTTACTTGTTCGTTCGTCTGTTTCTTTTGTTTCTATGCTTATTTGTTGAGATAACAACATACCTAAAACCCAAACTGCTGAAACATGACACGACCAGCGGCCGTGACACGATACTAGTACATTCGAATTGTGCGAGAATGTTGCTTAAATTGGCAAAACAATTATACGCAAAATATATAAACAAACCTGCTCTTGAGAATACGCAGTCAACAGTTTATAGAGCACGTAAAACGCATTTGTGAAACTTATCATTGCCTACAAACACCGCGCAAGTGATGGTTTGTCAATACTAGACCACATATTCAATTATGCAATTCACTTTCTAACAACACTGTCACCCAAACAAACACAACTTTAGGAAACTACAGTTCTCGTCTTAACAAATATTCACATTCATCGTGTTTACATTGCGTTTTGTAACAAAATGCAAATTTTGCTTTTCCCCCCTTTTTTTCCTTCTTCTTGTGAGGATTGTGCCAAGCTGAGTGCTACCATGAAATTATCTTCCTTGTTTTTTTTTTCATCTTGGTGTTTTCACTACTGTCGTTGTATTTCTCCTAATTTTAGCACTGTTTCGCAAATGGTCTTTTGTTGTTTACGCTTCGATGTTTTTGTGTGTGCTCATGTTATGTGCATTGTTAATTTTTGTAATGCGAAGCATTTCTTAGCGAACATCAGCGAGTTTGAGCTTATCTATCTATCTATCTATCTATCTATCTATCTATCTATCTATCTATCTATCTATCTATCTATCTATCTATCTATTCGCCCGCGTTTGGGAGCTCTCGTGGTCACCCCATTAACTCGGCGGAAACCAAAATTAGCATGGGTGGGTAAGATGGTTTCACGAATATGACGTGATGGTCAAGACTTGAATAATGCCACAATCCCATCGCGTACGTCATCAAAATTTTCCCACCAAACAGTGGCACACACCCACGGACGGATATGTGCCGCTAGTATGTGGGTATGTGCCACAGGTGATTGACACTTGATATCTACCCAGGAACGACAGCCACATACACGGGAAATTTTAACGCGCGAGCGTTAAGAAACATCCGACATCGGTAGCGCCGACCCGATGAATGAAAAGAATAAATGTCAGGGTCCCCGCTGGAATTGAACCAAAGCATTCTGTGTGGCAATGAAGATTTTTACCACCAAGCTATGCCAGGTCTAGAACTACTTTTCAAATAGACGCTCATCTTCGTAAAACGCCAATAACAGTTGCAGTGCTGCCTACCCAATTTTACAACATTACACATGTACTCCTTTGATACGGCCGTCACGTCGGGTTAACGTCACTTGTGGTTAGTTACCATGCGCTGAAGTTGATTTACCTAGCAGTGTCCAGGGCCAGCATCCTCGCGAGTATCAGCGCTTCATATCAGCATCTGCTGTTGCTAATACGCACTCCCAGTTGGCATCGTTGCGCAAGTGCAAACAACTGGTTATATAAGCGTCTGCAACTCGTGTGCTCAGATTTGGGTGCACGTTAAAGAACCTCAGATAGTCCGAATTTCCGGAGTCCTCCACTACGGCGTCTCTCATAATCATATAGTGGTTTTGGGACGTTATACCCCACATGTATATCAATCAATCAGCATCTGCAACTCTTCAACATAGGACTGTGCGTGCAACATTTGTACATATATTTAGCGCCATTCCTTGACGTGTCACTCAATAAAAAAAAAATTGCAACACGGTCACCTTCCCTCCGCATGCTTCGCACAACGTCGATTCCCAAGTACGTGGGATCTGCCCGATTTTTTTTTTCTTAGGCGCCAATGCACCGCTACTTTTGTGATGATCAATATCAATTACTCAAATATTTTTCAGCATTTTTAGTATTCTTTGCACTTAACTTTATTTCTTCACATGCGCATTACCAGCACATTATTATTGTGAACACTTTTCACACTTATTTATCAGTTTCTTTTGTTTTTCTTGTTTTGTGATGTTCCCCTTACTCAATACTCCCTATGTGACCTGTACTGTTCTTTTAAATAAATAAATAAATATACGGAAGAAAGTCCATTGGTTTGGCCCAGCATTGGTGCAGATACACATTTCTTTTCTTTTTTTTAGAGCGCTTGTTGCCCTGAAGAAAACAGGTCCACCAGTTAAAAGGTTGGCCGCAGCAGCATTCACTGATACACGGTCTTTGATAACTTTAAACGTCCATTATCCCTTCTATTTCTCTCTAACTCCTGAACCAATAATCACTATATGGTGGGTTCCATAGCACTGTGGAACTCCCGGGAATACAAACATATTGAGCAGCCCGAGAACTCATCAATTGGGCAGTGGACGGTCAGCCTTCTATCCGCAGCAGCACGCGGGAACACCCACTCACAAATCATTACACTACACCAATCCAGCTTTTCTATTTTCCTGAGTTGCCCTCTACATTGTTCTAGTAGGGAGGCGGAGCTTCGCGGGGTGATCCGAGACAACCGGGCTCTCCAGAATGAAAGCCTCTGATATGGGAAGCCGCACGGAGGCCCTACCACAGCCTTTCTCGACTTTTTCCGCCAGGTACCATGAAAAGACGTATTCCCTCATGATCTACACCCCCCCCCCCCCCCCCCTCCATAGATCTCCGTCTCACGCTGAGCAAATCGCTTGGTGCCGACTGCGAACGGGCTACTTCATTTCCCACTTCGTCTATTCGAAACTTCATCAGGACCAAATGGCCTTGCCCAGTTGTCGCCTCTGCTCGAGTCCGTGAGCTGGCTTTAATCCCGCATTCGTCATTACCCAAACAAGCCGTATACCCCCTTTGAGGGTGCTGAGAAATGGGAGCTACAGGAGGCTGCTCTGCGCAGCTCACGACCGGATGACAACTCCATATCGCACGCTGTGCCACGAGTGTCGCCGAAGCGCAAGGGCTTTCGGCCACCTAGTGCGGCCTGAGGGCCCATCATCTTTCCTTTTCGTGAACACCCTCACCCCTCACCTGCCCCATTTCATGGCGTCAGTACAGCTGTACCCTCTTCCCTCTGCTCCTCTATCTTGTTTGAAGGTCTATACTCTTCTTTGTACATCAAATAGATACAACACTGTATATGAATGGTTTTGGGACGTTAAACCCAACAAATCAATCAATCAATCAATCAACACTGTATATGAAAGCTAGCGAGGCTTGTTGCAATAGCTGCGTTCACACCGAGAAATTGCTGAACAATTGTAACCCATGCAACATGCTTTGTTTTCCTTTTACACTAAAGAGTAAATGAAGATGTTTTGTGCCTTAAAGGTAAACAGTGCGCGTTTTTCAATACGGTGGTCGATAGGTTGTTCTTGGTCGCTTAGCATCGCTTCATTTTCGTATCGTAAGCTCCGCGATCAGTTGCGGTAACTCGCAGGCGGAGTCAATCGCGGAGCCCACGTTCTCAGTGAAAAAATCCAAGCGTGAGACGCGTGGACTTGCACATCACAACGACCGAATTATTTGCATACCTTCCACAGTGTTACACCCGACGTGTGAAATGAAGTATAGTGTAAATGTCCGCGGGATCGAATCCCGGCTGAGGCGGCTGCATTTCCGACGGAGGCGTAAATGTTGTAGGCCCGTGTGCTTCGATTTGGTGCACGTTTAAAGAACACCAGGTGGTCGAAATTTCCGGAGCTCTCCACTACGGCGTCTCTCATAACCATATGGGGGTTTTGAGACGTTAAACCCCACATATCAATCAATTATAGTGTAGAGAGAGAAAGAGAGAGAGAGAGATAAAGATGCAAGGAAAGTCAGGGAAGTTAACCAGACGCACATCCGGTTTGCTAACCTGCACTGGGGAAGGAATGAAGGGGAGAAAAGAGGTTGCAGAGAGACAAGAAGGTACACACAATCACGAGCACACTCGGGGGAGCACACACAGTCTACAGGCGGTCGCTCAGGTATGTTGACTTTAAGTAAAGTAGGAGCGCTTTAGTCGCTTTCTGCGCAACTGAGGCAGATGCTCAAGGTCCTAGAATATTATATATTATTACAATTATAGTGGAAGTGTCCAACAGAAGCATAGACGTGTTGGTCAGTGGGTAGCAATTGGTTATAGAAGGTTAGATAGCACGATATACGTAATATACTCTCATTTTTTATTTTATTGTTTACTTTCTCCGCGTGCTGCTTTCTTGTTTGTTTTTTCAGGAGCTCAAATGGGGATGGGAGCTGGATGTGTTCCTGGGCAGTGCATGGCGCAGTGCCAGAGCGTAGGCAGCAGCGTGGGAAGTTGCTCGCCACAGGGATGCATCTGCGGCACGTCTCCCGGAGGGGTGAGTTCTCGCGCTTCTTGGACTGTCTTAAGCCTAATGATAATAGTGGGGACATAACGTCCCAAAAGCATGAGGTAGCCATAGTGGAAGGCTACGAAATTGTCGAACACCTGGGCTTGTTTATTACGCACCTAAGTCTGAGCGAACGGGCCTCCAGAACTTTTGTCTACACCGAAAATGCTGCCTCCGTGACCTGGATTCGGTCCCGTGACCTTCGGGTCAGTAGTCAGGCAGAATAATCCCTAGGCTACCGTGGCGGATTCTGCATTACGCCTAGTGTACACCTCAGCAATACATTATATCAGCTATAGAAATCTTCAGAGCGTATTCGTGCAGAAGATGTCTCAATCGACATATGCCAAAGAATGCATGTATTATCGGTTTTATTTCCCATAACGCCGCAATGCACAGCAGGTACGGAATACCAAGACAATCTCCAACGTTCCCAGAGACACCGGCAACCGCAGAAACCATAAAATCTTGTAGATGCGCCAACACTTCGAATCAGCAGCTCTTTCGAGCGTGAAGAGAACTTTTTTCTCGTAATCCGATTAATTAGGAGATTGTTATCCTCATTTCAAAGGCGCTTAGCACAAGGGCGCGGGTTCGATTCTCAGTCCCCGGTGGCCACACTACGATCAGGGTGAAATAAAAAAAAACACCAATGTACTTTGAGGTGCATGTCAAATAATCCCAGGTTGTCGAAAATTATGGATTCCCCCCATACGGCATGCCTCGTGATCATATTGTGACTTTGTCACGTAACACTAACGCTATTATTTACCTTAACTTTATTTTAAAATAACGCTGAGGCAAATTTGTGCCTGTCATACTGTTTTTATCAACCAACCGGATATAAAGTCATTAACTATGCGTTGTTATAACGGTACGATGATACCAATAATACCCGTTTCCTGCTTTAAGGACAACAGCTTGTTCTCGGTGCGTTGGCTAAACTTTCAATGGCTTCAACGCAGTGCCTACGCGTAATAAAGTTTGTAGAGACCAGTTATAGGTTACAATTACTTGTACCAATGTTGTACGTTTATTCACGCGGATAGCCAACACCACCAGGATGACAACAAAGTTACCCGACAACTGCTCCTGCAAGAGCATACCAGCACCGGCTATGCATTTACACCCTAAAAATAGGAGAACCACACAGTATCAAAACAAACAAGGAATCTAACTCTAAGCACGCATTAGTGCTACAGCTAAGAATTTACATTGGATTCTACCCTACCTAGGTGTACTTACCAAGGACTCTCCGTCAATAATTGTGCGTTTGTCGGGTTGCTTTCGTTAGTGCGAGACCTTTACAACGAACAGAACCACCCTCAGATGTTTGCACAAATCATTCGTCGTGTTTCACACACTTATATAACGCGAATGAAAGAAGAGGATTTTCAGGGTTTCCATTATTATGTAACGCGAGTAAGATGAATGCAGTTCTTCAATTCGGGTGATTGTGTTACCGTACCAAACATGGAGCCTGATCATGCGTATTAGATCGCTTACAACTTACAAAAACACGAGACATTTATATTTATCACAAGGCAAATTACCTCAGAGTAATGAAGATGAAAAGCCTGTGAATCTCTCGGAACGTTCGCCGGTCCACTTTGATGATCAAAAAAATTCCGCCATATCCACGAAGTGAATGATGATGAGTGGGCGAAGCTCCGGAGGTAAACCTGGTAAACCATGAATCCTCTGTACATTTTGCCCACTCGATTTTATTACATCGCTCCCCCTAGCGTACGTCGCCGCACTAAATCGAACGATTGCCTTCAACCAATGACACGCGCCATATGTGACATCATTCCTATTTTATAAGATCTCGCGTCTTTCATCAACTACAAGTACCGCTTTCTAGTTTATAACATCTTGCATCTTTTCATCGTCAGCTACAAGTACCACCATCTAGTAAACACTACAAGAACTAAACGAGAGGTGGCTACATACAGGAGACGGTACCGCCATCTAGTGAACACTGCAAGAACTAAACTAGAGGTGGCTACATACAGGGGACGGTACCGCCATCTAGTGAACACTGCAAGAACTAAACTAGAGGTGGCTACATACAGGCTACAGGGGACGCACAGCCCACGCCCTAAGGAGCTTCGCCCCTAAAAAAAAACTAACCTATCACTGTTACAATAAGTTACGTAAGTAACGACTATGCTTGAGTGTGCACGTACATGTTTTTTTTTTTTTCAATAGTTCAATCGCACTTTTTTTTTTACTTTCGTTCCTTCCTTACCTTTCTATTCTACCTTACTCCTTCCCCAGCGCAAGATAGCAAACCGAAAGTCCTCAGGTTAACTTCCCGGTCTCACTTTTTTCTATCAACATTTCTCTGTCAACACGAGTAATCGGCTACACCAGTCTTCTCTATAAGACCACCTTGAATAGTAATTTGGTTATAACACCGTAGGTTTTGAGCGTGTGCAGTGTTCATAAAAATAATTTGCACATAACGAAAAAAAACTCTACTTAGTGGCGTGTGGGAACTTAATGGTCTTCAAATATATTAATGGCGTGCCTTGAACGTAACTTGCGTTTGGGTGGTGATCTCCTACTGACGAAGAAGACCGCGTGCAAACATCTGATAAAGCGTTTAAGAAATGCATGGTAGCACCTCGAACTGAGACTCGGATACATAATGTCGCATTAATGGGCTTACCTTTGACGTTTCAAGTCTCACTATTGTGAAAACACGAATACGGTAAGTGTTTTGCCATGCGCTTCATTGAACGAATGTGTCCTTACGTAATCACATATCAAGGAATTACGTCGGAGCTAACGTTTCAAGTTCTCTCCTGTCGAAGCAGCAGCTCGTCAGGACAGGATATGTCGAAGGTCATTATTTATTTGACGAATTCTCATTACTTCAAACATCACTTACTCATCAACACCTCTTTTTTAAGTTCCGATGTTTAGCACATATTCCAACATCGGATCTTTCCGTCAGAAATATGTTGAATTTAGAAACAAATGATCTTACAATTCCAAGGAACCACGTGACGAAGCACGATGACGATCAGCGATAACGATGACGCTACAACGTCAACAGTGAATAAAGTTGCCAGCTTTTGCTACAAAATCTCGAGCTCTTGATCTTGTCCAGTCCGCCAGCCCTTTAACGTGACATATGAGCTCCGAGATTATATAAGCACTGCTTCAAGTTTAGACTGTAAACGCAGCTCCGGTGCTCTCATGACCACAATGCCACCTGTAATAGCTCGTGAGAATATAGAGAACAGGTTCAGTTGGTCAGAATTCGTTACGGAATGTTTCTCGGCGTGCACACTACTGCAGACAAGACCGATCTCTCCTTTCCTCACGTCCTGGCACGCTCCGAGAAACATTCCATAATGCATTGGTTCACCGTGTTTCAACACCCCAGTTATATAGTGAAAACTTTTGAGAGCTGTCTATTTATGCTTCTCTTTCTTACTCCTCTTTTCTGTCTCTTTCCGTTCTATTATTCTCCTTTTCCTCCACCCCAAGTGTAGGGTAGCCAACCGAGCCAAGCTTGGTTAACCTCCCTGCCTTTCCTCTCTATTTATCTCTCTCTCTCTCTCTCTCTTTGAGGGCTTGCTTTTCTTTGTTAGACACAATAATAATGAAAACCAAGAGACAACTGCCCTGAAAAGTATAGGGAGCGCAATTGGGAATAAGTGCCATGTAAATGTTAATAAAGAAAAGTGGACGAACAGATAAGATGCCGTGGGCATTTACATCACCTTTATTACTAATAGCAACAGCAGTACTTTCCTTGACAGTGTTGTCTCTTGGTTCTCAATAACTTTGCGTCTAATTCTTTTAAGAGTGTCACTGCAAGAGTAAGGCGTCACGTGACGGCTCCTCAACGTGCACCTCGTTTCGCAGGGCGGGCGAGGGGGCGTGACGTGCAATAACGCGCGCTGCCTGGCGACCTGCCGGGAGTACAACCCTTCCGTTGTGAGGGCTTACTGCAGTAGCACGGGATCTTGCAAGTGCGAGTGGCTACAGCCGGTACGTGCGAATGTCGCTCCTCTTGGCGCGTATACACACCCTGCATCATATATCTCTCGGAAAAGAGCTGCCTTGGCGCTTGGCTTCGCGACGAACAGAGCCGATATGTATACACGCACATGTGATAGTGGATTCGAAACGCCATTGGGGTATAATGAATCCACAGTGGCGTTTCTAACGTACAGAGCTACCGGACGCTGGTACCGGCACTTTGAGACGCTTCGTCTAACCGCCATCGTAGACACGTTTATTTGCTTTCAATGGACAGTTTACGATAATCTGCAAGTCGGCTTTTCCTGTAAGACTTGTTTTTCAACCAAAAACTCTCGTTCACAGACTGCTTTTCTCGCTAATTGTGCAGCGAAGGCACGCGAGCACGCGAGTACAACAATGAGCGAGAAAACCAGTCTGTGAACGAGAGTTTTTGGTTGGAAAACAAACCTTACAGGAAGCCGCCTTGCATATTATTGCAAACCGTTCATTGCTGACAACCGGCCATTTCCGTTTACGCCTCGGTGATTCTGTGTGCGGCTTAGTGGCAGCACCCGTGGCAGCACCAGGGTAGGGCACTTGCCGGAGGCCAGCGTTCTAGATGAACACTTGAACTCTGGGACAAGGTTTCCGTGGATACCGAGTACCTTTCCTATTTGACAAGTCTGTCGACAAAATAGAGTTCGTTAATTGATGTTGAAATAATTACAACACTTCTGTATTCTCGCCACTGTGAACGAATTCGTTGTGCATACTAGTCGCAGACAAACAAACGAAGCCTTCGCAAACGGCTGCATTATTTCTTACGAAAACTCCGGGTCGATTTATGAAGCCTTAACCAAACCCCGCTTCTATAAATAGCAGTTCTTCTACATAATTTAAAAGGTATCAACAGCTTCTGGTGCTTTACTACTTCAGAACTGAAACTTACCAAATACCTAAGACAAATTATATTAGTAATGAAAAAAAAACAGCGGTTAACAGAGTGATTCGTGTTTCCACTAACATCATGCGACTGGAGAAATTACTATTTTCGTGACTTTCTGTGACTATTTTCAGAATTCATGCATAACTCGTACAAATAGTTAAACTCTGGTAATAAGATCATTGTTTATTGCTATGTCTTACACTAAAAAGGTAAAACAAATCATTTCTGTTCTGCGACAAAACTGAACACCCACGATCATGAACGACCTTGTCAAATTCCAAGGCAGCCAGCCGCCAAGCGCTCTTTTCTGGGTCACTATTTTTTGTGCTCTTTTAGTGCTGTTCTCTTCAACACAGCCACAATTTCTCGATAGGTCAATCACAAAGCATAACACGCGTGCATTAACACGCAGACGTATAGCTTAAACCACAAGTAGAACCACGCACAAGCGTAATCTATACACAAAACATGAACACTCCGGCTTGGCGACTCGCTCTGAACTTAGAAGTGTGGCAGTTTGGGCTAGTTGGTATGGCATGACGATAGTTATAGCGCGAGAACAAAACGACGACACAGACACAAGACAGAGACGTGTCTTTCGTGTCCTTCTTGTCTCTGTGTCGTCGTTTTGTTCTCGCGCTATAATTATCGTCGTTCTAAACGTTGCACCTGCTACCATCACTGTCCCTTCACTCAAAAGAAAAAGACATTCGCAAGCCTTTAAAACGTGTCAGAAATACATACATCAACGTTAGGATATATATCTTCCGTACTGTCTCAATTTATTTCATACTTTAAGCCCTGTTAATTAGTGACTCAATCAATAAATCAATCAACGTAACCATTTCTCACGTTCACGTCCACTCAGAGACGACGCATCGTGGCAACATAAACAGCAGCCATTTCCATCCACGAACAACTGAAAGACACGTTTGCCGATGCAACATGTGTTTGCGCGTACGTTCATCAGTGGTCAGCGGGCGGTGGCTGACACCATTGTGCATCCCGTTGACGAGCAGCGCTCTTAATTAGTTTCACTGTGGGCGTACCCAACTCGCAATAAATTATCGCCACGCTCGATTCATTGCAGCCTCACGAGCCGTGCAACGTCCTCAAGTGTGACAGGCAGTGCCGCATGGATTCCAGGAAGCCGCTGATGAACGCCCGCTGCGCCCCCAATGGCTCCTGCAAGTGCACCTACCGGGAGGTGAGAGCAACCCCCGCGCTTTTCGAATGTTCACTCGGTAGTGGGTGGGAAACAATACGACGCCGCAGTATACGGTTGTTGCATTCACTATGACTGACGGCAAAAGCGCGCAAGACGTGGATTGCACCACGCCCACCCAAGCGCGCGCACACGAACCATATTTCGAGGAATAGCTTCGGTATCGCGGCACTCATCTAAGCGGTTGATGCCTCAGAATAATTAACTGTGGAGCAATTCAAGGAACCAGCCTGTCGTCGCATGTCTCACGTTGGCATGACGTAAGTACCACGTTAAATACTGATAAGCAAAGCTTATGTGTATGACGGCTCCGCTGCGTATTCGATGGAGGTGAAGATGCTGTACGAAAATGTTGTAGGCCCGTGTGCTCAGACTTGGGTGCAAGTTAAAGGGCCGCTCACCACCCCGCGTTTGAAGACGAAAGGGTGATTTTCTCCTCTTCTTTCATACACGCGATCCATACTCCTCGCCTCTTAGTTGTTGAATACACGTGAACAATAACAGGACTAAGCGCTAGAGCCTATCAGGATTTCAGGCTTCTCGGTTGCACGCTGTTATCGCTGCTTGTGCAGTTGTAAAAAAAAATGAAGTTTGATCAGTTGATTGTGCACGATATTCATGCGAGACAAAAATAACGGATGGGTGGCTGCACGGCAAAGCAGTGCAGGAGACAAATCACACGTGATATTTCGCTTATATCAACGAATCGAAATCGTGTGCGCTGTAGACGTCACGGGAACTGCTGTCTATATACGTCACAGTAGTGCGGCAAGAAGGACGAGAAAAATCGGGACGGAATATTGCGCTCTTTGCTGTATTTTGAAATCCTGGTGAGTGGCCCTTTACAGATAGATACCCAGGTGGTCGAAATTTCCGGAGCCCTCCACTACCGCGTCTCTCATAATCATACGGTGTTTTGGGACGCTAAACCCCACATATCAATCGGTCGGCGTCTAGAGCTAAACCCACCGCGCTCGAAGCAGCAAACAGTTGAGAAACAGTAGAGACAGTAGAACATAAAACGAACAATGGCAAAAAAATGAAATAATCACAAGAAAAGAACAGAAGAAGATAAAGAGCATCACATAGTCAGACGAAGAAAAAAACAAGGAGTAGATAAACGCAAGACAAACAGAATACAAGATAGAAAAGCCCATAAAGACAAAATAAACGTGAGAGAAACATTAGCAATTCAATGCTCTGCAGTATGTACACCTTTGACTTGAGGTCAACTGGCTCAGATTGTTCTTGTGCATGCGTGCGCGCGTGTGCGTGCGTGCGTGTGTGCGTGTGTGTGTGCGTGTGTGTGTGCGCGCGTGCGTGCGTGCGTGCGCGTGCGTGCGTGCGTGTGCGTGTGCGTGTGTGTGTGTGTGTGTGTGTGTGTGTGTGTGTGTGTGTGTGTGTGTGTGTGTGTGTGTGTGTGTGTGTGTGTGTGTGTGTGTCTAAGAGATTCACAGTGTATCTGCTCTTCCAAGGGATCGCCGGATCACATTCTCTATATGATGGGTTGGGTGGATATTTCTAACCGACGACAACAATCAGCATAACTGAGCCAACCAATGAAAGGGAAACAATTAAAGCAACATTTTAAAACAAGAAAACAATATGAATATCTTGCATTACGGTGCGGCATCTGCAACCAATTGTAATAATATCAAAAAGACTAAACATGAAACATGTTGTTCAATATGTATCGACCCAATGAATGAGTTGCACAACCCTTTTTTTTTTTTGAAGAAAACATCAGAAGTATGGCAGCCATCGTGCAAGAAAACTTTGTGAAAGTTCTTTTCTTACTTCTCTACTGTCTTTCTTTTTTCTTTTCTCTCCTTTCATACCTTAGACGCACTATAAGTAGAACACGAAAGTGATTTATGTCTTCTAAGCTTTGTGTGCCCAATGGCACTAAAGCTAATTGTGTCTGATTTTTTAATGCGATTTGCTGTTGAGACTTAAAAAAGAAACGTCTTTCACGAACCGAATAACAACCTTGTAGCCGGAAGGTTCTCAACATCTCTTACAGTGGCTCAGCGGTAGCCGTAAAAAGGCGTAATAAACAGGGATTAACCGGCATTCACATACTCTTGTGCAGCGCTCTGTACGTTCGAAACTGCTTCTCGTGAAGCTGGTAGGCTTAAACTTTCACGCTCTCTTTACCATACCGACCACTCAGTCCTTTCGTCGTCCGCAGAGAACACGCATAACCTTCCTTTCCGGCTCTTTTGCATCACCTAGGACTTTTTGTCCGGTTTACTCATTATTTTTTATAAGATGGGGCTTTAGCCTTAGGAAGAACTTCAACCGCCCCCTTCAAACACGTGTGAAACCAAGTAAGCCATTCAGTGGAACACTTCTTTTGAAGTAAAGATTGTATACCGGGGACTAGTGGTCAAGCATGTCATTTTGGATCTCGAATGTCTTGAAAATATAAAATTTTACGTGCATGCATGCAACTCGAGACATGAAATTTGAGGCTACATAGTTACACAGCAAAGGGAAATAGTAAGTTTTGTAAACTGCGTATGGTAAAAACAGTATAAAAGAAATGACGTGACGGTAAAATGCGCAGAGCACGCTGTTCTAACAAATTTTCATAAATATATGACACAAACACAAGTAAGATTTGTGACGTATTGATCCTGCTATTATAGCCCTTTGTGAGGTCGCCTATATTTTTCAAGCCAAATTGAAATTATTTTTGCTTTTCTGAGCTTTTTAAAAGCTTAGAAATGATAAGCAACAAAATTCAGGTTGATTGCATGCTTAGGTTTTTTAAAAAAAGTGGGACGTATATGTCCCATTGGTGTATTCAGGCCCCTTGAGAGTAGGACAACACTGGCCCATTGTCTCGTGAAGGTACTTTCTCGATTTCATTTGCGCGCTTACTTAGAGTGAAAGGCATCAAAACAAGTTGGACCGAGCGGCACCTTGCAAGCTGTACATGTGAACTTTGTGCGGACCTCATTTCTAGTTTTGAACACCATCTTCACCTTCTTTGTGAGTTTCCTCTTTGTGGATTGTGGTCGCCTCCTGTGAATCTGATTTCATCTGAGACACCAACCATTTCCTGACCCTTCTTCTGACCCTGCTTGTTTTTTTTTTGTTTTGTTTTTGGTTTTGGAATAGCGCAGGCCTAGTGTAGTGCCTGAAAGTGTGTTCATTTATCAGCTGTCGCCATAGCACAAGACGAAACCACATGTAGCTTATGTCCTTGTTGGCGTTGTGCTGTATGAATGCGTTGACGCTAGCTGCGTCAAAAAGAAAACAAAAGATGCGGTACCACGACTTCTTGGAACGTCTGTCAGAAGTGTAGGCATTTAGCTTTTACCCGAACCTGTCAACAACTCCCATCCACAGGTTGTAGTCGTTGTAGTCTGCCATGGCGTTCGGGCACGTTCCAGCCCCCGAAGAGCCATTTGTAAGATTTCGTGGTACTTCCACAGTTTCTGTCGGATTATAAAGGTTGGACAACAAGTGGACATCTTTGGTGTCGTGCCACTGATAAGCTGTAACTTGACCTTGGGTGCACCAGATGTACTCTGTTTTTGTGAGCTTATTGTTTTGTTTTAGTTCCACAGGTAAATCCTTTCTGTTCGTGCGAACAATACCTGCGGCAAGGAATATCCTCTCGGCGAGAGTTTCCATCAGCTTGGTGCACGTAAAGTAATTGCCGAAGAACAGCTGCGTTCCACGCTTTACGTTTTCTGACAGGGAAAGCGCGGAATGCTCTCCAAGGCTTTGGTTGGCTGGTCGTGATACATGCTTTTCTTCATATACCTTAAATTGAAGCAAATAGCCCGTCTTTGAGTCTGCCCTACGCCAAAATTTACATCCACGCTTTATGGGCTTCATCGAAAGGTACTGCTTCATGCCAGACCTTCCTTTGAAAGCCATCATGCTTTCATCAAATGACTGATGGGATGATGGCAAGTACTTCTCCTGGAAGCTCCTGTTCAGCTTATTAATGAGGGGACGCAGTTTATCAAGCCTATCATAACTATCTTCTCCTTTCTTCTTTTTTTTTTACTGTGGTCGTTCACACGAAGGTAGTTCATTACGTACTGGAAACGCTTGAACAACATCACTTTGGCGTTTCTTCAGAGTTGAAAAGCCAATCGTGGTGTCGTAATGACACGTTCATAAGCAGAAGCAAACCAGAATAAGCTCGTAGTTGATCTTCTCTACGTACAGCCCACTTCGTCGTGTACTTTTCAGCACCAGCATGATTAGTGAGCTCTAATGTCATATCAATCACCTCGTCGTCAAAATATCACGCGAAGCAATCTACTGCACGTGTCACCTCCTTTTTTGTGAGCTCGGGGTCCCATGATTTCGGACTCCCGAAAGAAATGTTTGGTTTATTTTCATTGCACCCTTCACCGATTTCTTTTTCAACAGCAGCTGCTTCGAAATCAGTCCCTATTACTTCCTGGTTGGCTCTTTTTCTGCTATTGGAAGTTCTTTGTCGATGTTTTTTTTTCTTTCGATAGCCCAGGTCTATCTTCGTCTTCTTCGAGACTCGAGTCTGATGGCGCGAGCTCCAGCACGAACTCATTCATCTTCACTACTTTCTTACTCGTCCCCACTTGTTTCAGATTTGTCCGACAAGCTGAAGAATAGCTCGAGTGTCTCTTTATGTCAAAGACAGTCCGCTGAAATTAATAAATCGAGAAATGTATCTGAACAAGAAGAGTTAGTGTCAGTTAAGCCTAGCAAAACGCCCATAAAATTTTGAAGTATGTTGGCACTGACCAGTACATCTAGCCTCAAAATACTTCGATTTGCAAAATTGGTACCGAAACGTGCGGAATTCCACTACATGGCATTATTGTAGTGTTTTCGCCCGTAGCAGCTGCAAGTAACGTCGTGGTTTAGTGGTAAGTCACGTGCTTTCCACGCGAACAGCCCGGGTTCGATCCTTAATGAGACCAAGAATACTCTTCATTATTTTATTTACTTCTTTCTCGATTTTTCACTCACAA